TTAGCGGAAGGGGATCGCAGAAGATGCACCTCGGCATGAAAGTTATGAAATTTGAACGAGCTAGTCGTGAGCAGGCGGGCAGATAATCGCAAAATGAGAGTCGAAAAGTACGTCGAAGGGGTAAAGGCATACTTCGGGTTGGAAGGGGGGAAGAAGGTAGAGAAAGTTTTGCGCTTCTTGACTCTCTTAGTGGAGGACAACCTTTTTCGACTTCATCCTAGGGACATATTGGGGAGAGGATGTGCGGGCTGATGTGAAGATGGGCGAGCACGAGCGTTGGATGCCCAACCCAAATGGTGGCAAAAAGAAAATGCGAGTGTTTCATGAATCCGAAGTAGAATCCAGTCTGTCTCTTTGTTGTATGAGTGCTCCTGCGTACGCCAGGCACATGGTCAAAGCCGATTTGGTTGACCAAGTCTTCGTAGCATATTTTAGACCGGTGAGTGAAAAAAAGGAGGAGGAGGAGCCAACACCACCTGCAATTAAAAAGTTGTTGAAAGAGATCGCTGACGTGGGAGAGACCCCGACAGGAGTAAAGGAAAGGGAAACCAATCACCGGATAGAGATAGAGCCCAATTGCAAAACTCCCAAGAGGCCAGTCTACCGAATGTCTCCCAAAGAACTCGATGAGTTGTGCAGACAACTTGATGGACCAATAGAGAAACGGTGGATTAAGCCCAGTTCATCGCCATATGGCGCACCAGTCCTATTTGTGCCTAAGAAGGGAGGCGAACTGCGAATGTGCATTGACTACAAGGGTTTGAACGCGATCACGGTGAAGAACGTCGAACCCTTGCCTAGGATAGATGATCTGTTGGATAGGGTGCAGGGATGCAAGTAACCCTTGCCTAGGGTAGATGATCTGTTGGATAGGGTGCAGGGATGCAAGTATTTTTCCAAGATTGACTTGAAGTCGGGCTACCATTAGATAGAGGTACAACACAAAGACCAGCACAAGATGGCCTTCAGGACTCGCTACAGCCACTAGGAATTTGTGGCCCCTGCTACCTTCCAGAGATGCAACAATGATCTCCTTCGTGAGTGGTTAGACAAGTTTGTAGTCGTCTATCTAGATGATATTTTGATTTTTAGTAAGACTCTAGACTAGAGGAACACCAGCAGCATCTGCACTTACTTTTAGAGAAACAACGCATTGCGAAGTTCAAGCTGAACCTGAAGAAGTGTGAATGGGCAAAGCGTCAAGTATTGTACTTGGGTCATGTGCTAGATTGAGATGGAGTCAGACCGGAGGATGCGAAGATATCAGCAATCAGGGATTGGCCCACACCGCACACACTGAGCGGTCGTTCTTAGGCCTAGCCAATTATTGGTGAAAATCCGTACGCAATTTCACCATGATAGCTGCACCACTGCGCAAACTGCTGAGGAAGGAAACAGTTTGGAATTGGGACAAAGACTATGGAGAGGGGTACCGGCCCGTCGAGTTCATGTCTTGTAGGTTGCCTAGTGAGAAGGTCGCTGCGTCGACGTATGAGAGTGAGCTATTCGCCTTGAGGGAGGCACTGAACCACTGGCGACACTATCTCCTAGGAAGGCACTTTAAAGTCTACTCTGACCCCGAGACCCTACGCTGGTTGAAAACCCAAGCCCGGATGACCCCTGAGTTGACTAGATGGGCTGGCGAGATAGACCAGTTTGACTTTGAGCTGAAACCAGTCAAGGGAAAATACATCGTTGTCGCAGACGCGTTGAGTAGACGTGCAGGCTTCTTCGGTGCCATCGTCACTTACTTAGATGCAGGCAATGAGCTACAGCCTCAGATCAAGGCTGCGTACACTGACGATCCCGTTTACAGCGAGCTAACCAAAAGGGTGCAGACTGTGCCGCACGAAGTCCCGGACTACAGAGAAACCAACGGACTCCAGACTGTGCATCCCGAACAGCGAGACAGTCAAAAGTCTGATCCTGGGAGAGTGCCACAACACTAAGGGCCATTTCGGTTTGAGGAAAACCTATGCTAATCTCCTCCGGTCCTACACCTGGGTCGGTATGAAGCACGGCTGCATTGCCTTTATCTAGGGTTGTCAAGTGTGTCAACCAAACAAAAGTACCACACAGCCCCCACTTGGCCTATTGAGGCTGTTACCAGTCCCGTCCGGTCCCGATGAATCTGTGTTGATCGACTTCATGGACATGAAGGTTAAGCGCAAAAACGGGAAGAGTCAAGTGATGGTTGCTGTAGATAGATTTAGTAAATTTGCCGTTTTTATTCTGCTGCCCGCTGAGGCTAAGACAGATTCAGTGGTTAGAGAATTCTTCAATCACTGGGTTAAAGATTACAAACACCCGTTAACCATTGTTTGTGATAGAGATAGCAGATTCGCGGGCAAGCACTAGCAACAGTTGATGAAAGTCTATGGATCAAAGCTGACCAGGTCTTCCGGTCGACACCTGAAGACCAATGACCAGACCGAGCAGATGAACAAACTGCTCCAGCAAGTGCTACGCATGTACATTAGGCCCGACCAGATCGATTGGGACGAACATCTTCCCAAAGTGCAGTCTGCGTATAACAACTCGGTGCACTTGTCCACTGCCCGCACCCCTAACGAACTGCACAGAGGTTGGCAACCCCGACGTCCGATTGACTGCTTGAATCCAGATCAGATTCAAAGACTGTCGCCCGGTACAACGGAGTTTGCAATTCAATACAAGAAGGATCTAGATCAGGTCAAAAGGAACATTACCAGATGGCCGACCAAGCTAACAAACATCGACGACCATCGCAGTTTGCAGTAGGTGACTTGGTATGGGTTAAGTCTAAGGAGTTTGTTCCTGAAGAAGGGATCTCGCAGAAACTGTTACCCGCATATAGGGGATCACGGCAAGTCTTAGATGTCAAAGGAGAGGCAGATGGTCCGTCCTACACGATCGAGATTCCACCCCACCTGCACACGTACCCGGTATTCCACGCATCTAAGTTGCTTCCCTGTATTACAAACGACCAGTTTCCCTCCCGAAGTTCCATGATTCCACAAGTTTTGGACGGAGGTTATGATGTAGACTGAAGAGTGCCTGAAGATACTTTCTGCGCAGGTCGCAGAGGAAGGCCACAGCGCCAATATAAGGTCAGGTTTGCCTACCTGGAGCCCAGCGAAGACCACTGGTTCCCCAGGGAAGAACTAATACAGACGGCCCCTCACATTGTCTCTTTCTATGAGAGGGCCCGGAGAGGAATGAATGTGTACGATAGATAAAATTGAGATGTTCTTGGAGGACCTCGAAATTAGGCTGGCGGGAGTGAGAGGATTCACGCTGCAGACACCCAGTCCTGGTCCCAGGGTCCTGACAAGTCCCAAGTCCCAGGACCGTCCCATAGGGTAGGCTGTAGGGTCTACAGGCCAAAGCGTCGTAGGTCGGTAGGTGTCGGTACTGAAGCGTCGTAGGTCGGTAGGACTCCATCCGGTACCCGACAAGAAAAGTCCAGAAGCCTCCAGTCCAGTCCGACAGTCCCAAGTCCAATTTTGCAGCACGTCCCAGGAAAGTCCGGAAGCTACTGAACCGACAAAATATTTGCAGCAGACAGGCCGCGACAGACTGGTACCGGTCTGAAGCAGGCCAAGCCAAGCCAAGCCAAGCCAAGCCAACTCCTATATTTAGCTGCTACAGTGCAGCGGCTCATCACTTGTTCAGTTGCGAGATGCGGAAGCGCTGCAGCTGCTTCTGCGTCAAGGCAACTTCGGCACTGTGCGCCTGAAGAAGAAGAGAGCGCTTGAGAGATACTCCATAGCTAGGCTAGACGTAGAGCAGGAGGAAGGCGGCCATAACCGCCGAGGTGTGAGCAACCTGAGTGGGTGTATCCAGAGTAACGATCCCGGGTAGAGAGAGAGAGAGAGAGACGGGAGAGAGAGAGTGAGGCAGAGCGAGTCAAGTAAAAGAGAGAGAGAGAAGGGAGAAGCCGTAGCCGCTATCTGGTTGAGACCTGTTGTGTGTGTGTGCGCAGCAGAGCAGCTGGAGACAAACATTCTTGTATATGGATAATAATATTGGAGACGGCATCTTCAAGTGTTGATTATATCTCGATTTGGATTCTCGCCTGTGAACTCTCATATGAATGTTCGTTGATGCATGCGAAGTTAAACTTGACAAGTACTTGGCTCATTTCGCAATCAATGGGAACATAAATTTTCCAAGCAGCAAAAGACTGAAAGCAGCACAAGCATATACACGCCAAGTCCAAAGCAGAATTACAAAGCCAAGAGAACTGACACTGAAGTTTCTTCACAAAGAAAGCCGAACTTCTTGCCTCCACTCATCAATACAACCACAATGTAGCAGCGCTACGTGCCCGCCTATACTACTCTCCTACTCTCTCCCTCAACAGAGCCTGGTTCTCTCCCTCGCTCTTCCCTCTCTGTGTGGCATACTGCGTAGCCACACGGGCCCTGCAGGGCCCGTCCCGCACTTTCAGCCTAAAAGCCTAAAACTTAGGGCTTACAGGCCCCGGTCGTTTCAGCCTGAAAGCTGAAATACGAGGGCCCCTGCAGGCCCTATTCCGTTTCAGCCTATTTCTGGGCCTTTCAGGCCCAGAGGCTTTTCAGCCTGAAACGGAGGGCCATTTTCAGGCCCTCATTGTGTTCGACCTACCTAAGACTCAGGCACGGAAACAGGGTTTCGGGAACAGGCCAGAAACAGCCTGTTCCCCACGCCAGCTCGAGCAGGAGCTGCAGCCCCTGCCTCCCTTCGGCATTGGCAAGAGCAGCCTCCTGGACTGCTCGCCTGCAGTCAGGAGGCACACCTGAGTAGTACATAGGATAGTCCCATGCACTTCACGCGTAGGTAGTTGTCAGAGGCACGAGTAGTCTTCAGGATTCGGCCGCAGCACTCAGGAGGAGCGCTGCAGTAGTCTTCAGCGCTAGGCAGTAGAATTAGCGCTAGTAGTAGTCTTCGGCGCTGGGCGCCCATAGCCATAGCTGTAGTCTCAGCGCTGGGCGCTATAATGGTAGGAAGAGATACTGGCGGAGGCCAGTGGTACTTACCTGTGGCGCCATCGCTCCAGCTCCATCAACGAGGTACCTGCATCAAGGCACCAACTTCACAGGTTAGTACTGGACACAGACAGAGAGAGAGAGAGTTCTTCTTCTTCCTCTTTTAAGTCCACCATCTCTTCTCACCCTCTCGCCACCTGACTTCTCAGACTACGACAGAGAGAGAAAGAGTTGTGACCTAAACTTGACGACATTGGATCCAGACTTGACATTTGGGATTCAGACATTTCGACGAGGGACTATTTGGGCTGTGCCGAAGACTTGGTGTTGACGACATTCCCATCTTCCCCTCCTCTTCGTCTAACCCCCTTCTTCTTCGTCTGTGTATGGTAGGGGCTGGCGCAGTCTTCCTGTGTGAAGCGCCAGACCCCATTCACACCATGTAACGATGATGATGATGTATGTTCAGGGCTGCATTATAATATTGATTGTTCGGATCATTGGTATCTAAGTCTTCCGCTGTGCTATCTTATACTTTGTATTGAGAGGTCGGTTCTTGTTCTGGTCTCCACCGTTTCAGTATGCAACAGTTTGGTATCGGAGTGGACCTCTCATTCAGAGGACCCGCTCAATCAAATAGCCAGCTTGCTTGATCTATTGATTACTCGTTAGTAAATCAAGTAGGACTTCGTCAAATCTCTGAATTTTTTTTTCTCGCAACAACTATCTGAAATTTCTGATATTCGCATTTCGTTTTACCTGAAAATTTATGATATTAGTATTTCGTTTTTACGTAACAAATATCTGAAAATTTCTGATAAATCGCATTTCGTTTTGTCTGAAAATTCCCGATAGTAGCATTTCGTTTCTCTGATATTTCGCATACATAGCTGAAATTTTCTGATGTTAGTATTTTGTTCTCTGGGCGTATTGGGATAACGATAGAAGTGGTCATATTCTCGGAAACTGGAATTATTCTTTTCTGAAAATCGAATTTCCATTCTGTCTCGCAAATTTTTTTTTGAAAACCGAAATCTTGCGAAACCTACCAACATTTCGATAGGCATAGTCGGAGGTTGCCATATTCTCAGAAACGGGATTTAAGTCTTTTCTGAAAATCGCATCTCTATTCTACCTCGCAATTTTTTTTTTCAATATCGCATTCTGTGAAAGCCGAAACTTTGCGGAACCTAGCCTGGAGCTCGCTCATAGTACTCTTCTGACATGTCTCACTCATAACAGATCAACAGATATACAACAAAAAAAAACAAAAAAAAAAAAGGAAGTAGTCCTCTTTTATTTTTTATTTTATTTTATCTGTTGATTAGGGCCGGGAGGAAAGTATTGTTGGGTTGGTTTCCTACCTACGTTTTCCCTCCCCACCCACCCTGTGCTTGCATTCCCAGTTGGTACAGTGACACGTCAGCTACAGTGCCACGTCAGTGACACGTCAGCAACAGTGCCATGTCAGCAGTGACACGTCAGCAACAGTGCCATGTCAGACACAGTGCCACATCAGACACAGTGCCACGTCAGACACAGTGCCACGTCAGACAGTGCCACGTCAGCAGTGCCACATCAGACACTGTGACACGTCGGACAGTGCCACGTCAGCAGTGCCACATCAGTCACAATGCCACATCAGCAGTGACACGTCAGCAGGACACGTAAGCAGTGCCACGTCAGCAGTGCCACGTCAGTCACAGTGCCACGTCAGCATGACGGGTCCAGCTCGGGGCATGCCAGGCCAACTTGCCAATGAGTCCATTGCCGACTACAAACTGCGCTTCCAGGCTCAGCTTGCTTTCATCGAGGCTGAGGAACAATGCCAGCTGGCAGCCGAGGCTGCCCGCGTACAGGCTGAAGCAGCGGCAACAGCAGAGAAGTTGCGGCTACAGGCCGAAGCAGACGCAGATGCCCAGGCTCGCCGCAAGGAAGCCCAGGATCTGCTGCAACGGCATGAAGCCAACAACATGGAGAGACTCAAGTTCTGGCACTTTGAACCGAACGACGACGACCCAACACCAGAAGAGCAGCATAAGGAGTTCCTCTCCAAACTCGTGACACGATTGTTGTATGCTTGCAACTATCAACGGTCCGAGCTAGAGAAACAGAACCAGGAACTGCAGCAACAGTACCAGGATCTGAAGACACAGCACCAGGAGTTGGCGAACCTCCGCTAGATGGTGCAGAGCCACGAGGATGCTACACGGGCACTCAATTCCCGTGTACTGGACCTAGAGCAAGCTGTACCAGGACCAGATGCTGGTGAGTCCAGCAGCGCACCCTCTAACAACCAACTGGAGCAACGGGTAGACCACGTCCTCGCAATGCTCGGCGACATCAGCACCTTCGCTGCGCCGACCACCATCAGCAATCAGCTGGACACGTTGAAGACCGAGTTCCAGCAACTGCAGTCGACGAATACGGATGGCAACAATCCAAAGCAATACAAGATGCCAACCTTCCAACTGGAGAAGTTTGGCGACTACACGCATCAGGACCCGGTAATCTGGTGGGAAGCATTCACGACACAACTTCGGATTCTACCTGTCGCCAAGCACGCGTACATCGGCGCCCTGTTCATGAACTCAAAGGGCGGATGCCAGATCTGGTTAACCCACCTGGCAGCCACCCATGGCGTCGACGTTGCAGATCTGAAGGACAAGATCACATGGGAAGAGTTAACACGGCTGTGGAAGAAGCGGTTCATCATCGACGACGCTCCAGCATTAGCCATCAACCGTCTCTTCTGCAATCATACTCGACTTCTTCACACTTGTCATGTATGCAAACAGCGAAACAGCAACTGGCGACATGCGCCCACACAATACTCAAGATATCGTAACCAGATATGAGTTCTCTTCAACTGGCTATGGCGACTGGGCGCCCACACAACTCACTGTTCACACTCTGGA